AATTAGTCGAAATCTAATGTAGTTTTTAGATTCTAAAAGGTTAGTACCAAAAAAAATAGTAAGTAAAATGATATGTAAATGAATCTTACTCTAATTTTCACTTATATTCAAGGTATTTTTTATTAGTTTTTATTTTTTTTCTCCTAATCCTTCTTTAATAAGTTTATAAATGCACCCTACATTAACCGCTGCATTCAACAATAATTTTTGTATGTTAGACCTAAAAATTAAATTTTATATTTAATTTATAAAATAATATTTATTGATTGAATTATTGAGATTTTTAGAAAAATAATATTTGGGAGTGGATTTTCAAAAAAAAAAAAATGGCTTCTTTCCCCTTTTTGGTAAAATATGGGACCACCAAAATTTAAATTTGAGCGTTTGACAACTTTGACTAGACAAAATGGGCCCTTTCCTAAAGATTTTTATATTTAAGACTTGGAGTTGAATAATTATTTTCCTATTCTAATGCACTTTGTATTATATGAATGAAGTCAAAACTTCCTTTTTTAGATGCAATTCAGTAAAATGTTGACACAAAAATTATTTTTTTGAGAAGATTATGTTATTAAATCGATCAAGATAACACTAGGTAGCCAATTTAGTTATTAATGCTTTGCATTTACGGATTATAAGCAAATGGAGCATGCATGTTTGGTTGTCATTTTTCAGAGAAATTGTTGTCTTTAAAGTTGTTTTCTTATAAAAGTAGCTAAATGACTAACATCAAATTCTTTAAAAAATTTATTATTAGTTATCCAATCGGAAAAATAAACTTCTCGAAAAATGTGTCCGCTTTAATTGATAGATTACAAACAATGGTTCCACCTAAAATATTGCAAACCAAACAAATCTTTAAAGTTCATTTTTAATATATATTATAAATTTAAATTTAGAAGCTATGGCCCATAATTTGATTCCCGAGTATATTATAGTTTTTTTTTTCAAAAATTTCTAATTTAGATTATTGTATTATACTTAATGGTTGTAAATTGTAATTAAACTATAACGTGGAGTGTAGTTTATGTAAAAAATATATATTCAACTTGGAAGTCTAAACTTCTAACTTCTCACTTTTGATTATATAATTAATAACTTGTTGATTTGAGTGGATGAAACTTTGTTTTTTTCTTTTAATTTCTAACTCTTGGTTATACAACCAACGAACTTGTTCATCTGAGTGAAACTTTTTCATCTGAGTGAAACTTTGTTTGTTTCTTTTAACTTCTAACTTTTGGTTTTACAACCAACGACTTGCTCATTTGAATGGGTGAAACTTTGTTTTTTTTTTTTTTTTAAATAAGATTTGAAGTTCAAGTCTTATGAATTGAGAAACAAATATCTCTTATGAGGTTTGACATAGTTCGATTTCGAATTAATTATTATCCAATGTAATTACTATGAGGTTAGTATAAAAAAAAAAAAAAAAGAACCTCTTGGTTGTGCATTACTTATGTGGACAAAATTAATATCTATCATCTAGATAATAATATGTCAATATTTTAGTTACAAAAACAAGGCATAAATGATCATTAAGTTTGCTATAAAAAAAAAGTTAAATTACTTAAATTATTAAGTTTAAAAGCTTATACACTTCAATAAAAATTTAAAGATTTAATAAAAAAATTTAAATTAAATTTAAAGACTTAACATAAGATTTTACCTTAATTTTAATTTCATACGTCATAGACAAATAGGCTGTGGTTGGGTTATTGGTTAATATCACACATTTTCAGTTTAGCTAATTATTATATATACCCTTAATTTAATTTATTTTTAATTTTAGTGTTATAAACTAAAATCTATAGTGAGTTAATTAAAGACAGTATGGTTAGTTAATTAAGATAAAAAGATATATGACAATAGCACCACCCATATTTTGCATATTGTGCTAGCAAATACACTAAAGAAGGTTCAGGATCAAAATTATTAATCTATTAACATTTTAATTTTATCAATAGGTATATATTTTGCATCATTTTATCAAATAAAATTAAAATTACTTGATTGATTTTATTGAAAAAATATGCTCT